AAGGCCTGAGAATTTCGGTTAACTGTGTTGTTCGCTGGTGCGTTGATTATCGGTCCCCTGGTACCCCGCTCCTACGTCTATCTAGCAGGAGTTTTTTGACCGGCAAACTGCCCCTCACCGTGCTTATTTACTGGAGCGACCTCTCCAGGGGCGGGTGTGGATAGAAGAAGCTAGGGGGTGCTCAAGCAGCTGGCTTTGTGAGATTGAGCTTCGTCAGGCCTCAACCCGTTGACCTTTCAGGCATGATTGGATCTACGGCTGTGAAAAGCCATCCTGTGTAGCTCGCAGGATCATGGAGGCACGCAAGCCGCCACACCACGTCAAGGTGCAGTCTCGTCGTGATGGGATCATATATACACGAGTTGATTGTTCATTTTCGACTGTTCGCCGAGCTTGGTGATTTCAGTGCAAACGTTTCATCACCACCCAAAGTGACATCTTCAGTGGATGTGATGATGCCACCTCGGCAGGTGATCAAAAGTTTGCAAACAAACTGCTTAGATCAGCCAACAGGCGAAAATGAATTCAGCTCACTCGAACTCCGGGGACCGATTTTTAATATTCTCATCAAAATTTGGTATACATATTCGGATATATATATATATATCTTTATGTATACATATACGCAGATATTCAACAATTCAATCGGTAAAACAACCATTCTTATATCCGTGCAACGGATAGTTTACTCACAAGATAATACCTTTAAAATAGATCAGAGACCCAGCCGTAAACTATGGGACGTGCCCTTATATCGCAAATGTGAAACCAGTCTAGAGGTGAAGCACGTGATCCCAGGCTCACTGAATAAACAATCGCGGACGCTCAGCAGTAGTGCTCGAGAACAATGCAGGATTTTGCTTAAGAAGTTTTCAGTTTTTCAGTTTGCACAACCATTAACCATGCACTATCGTGCCCCGGCTTTGGTTGCTATCTTTCGGCTGCCCATTTGGATGAACATTAGAAAGACAGGAAAGCAGTGAATGCTTGAGAATTAATACTTTGAAAAACACCACATACGTCTGAAGACTGCATCGCGACGTGGAGATTGCGGTAAGACATCAAGTAAGTTCCTGCTCACATGGTGGTGGACAGCATGGCTGTCCTTCGGTTCAATACTACATCCAACCCATCGGGGCCTTATGTGGTTATCCACTCCAAGTCCCGGGGATGAGATCACCGGTTCGCATCACTGAACAGTGGATCCTCCTAACTGTAGGGCTTTCGCCGTCTGTTGTTCATCACACGAAAATGTGTAATAAAAAACGATTTTCCGAACGCCAATAAGTTGTAAAGTAGGTCATCTGCAGGCTGCATTGGAGAGCACAAATATTAATGGGTCAATTTTGAACAAAATACCGAATAATGTGCAGTTAGTCCACATAGTACTCCAGGCCGGGCGATCGAGTAGAAAAACAGCCCTGAAGAGTGGTGAGGAAACTGTTCTGTGTCTTATTTCCAGGAAACTGTGTGAATATCCATGGAGCTGACTCATTCGCGAGCACGAAAATGGGGTGAATTCCGACAGTTATCAAATCGTACCCAGTACTCCAGTCGTTTCTCCGTCCGACGAATAATTCGATTCCTACCACCACGATTTCTGACTAATTCGATCGTTAATTCCCATCAAGTTTTCATCACACAATATTATTTTGGTTATGTAAGAGTATACGATGAAGTCCACAGTGATATTCACCAAGAATAATTTATTGCGTCACAAGCGATATGAAACACTCGTTCATGTCGGTAATTAATGGTTGTACGTAAACTGCTGTTCGTTCCATGTCAGCTTCACAACTGGTGATGTAGCATCATTTTGTTCCAACTCATGAATAATCGCATCGCTGAGCTCTACTGTGACCAGTTTTCTTACCTATAATGCCCAGGAAACTGAAACGCTTGCGAATGGTCTGACTGTTAATGGTTCGGTGTGCTCGTCGGAAGTGTTGTTATACCACTTCGATCTCATTCTATTCGGAGGTAGCAGAGTAGGTAAGCGTTGACACTTGAGCAGTTACCTCTCCCCTAGTGGACAAATTTTCAGCACACCGTAAGCTCGACTGGCATTCACTAACTTGACACAGTTTGTTACCGCCGCAACATACAACTGTGTGTGAAGGATCGAGTATGGGATTTAGCTCCTGAGTCGGTTCTGCTAAATGGTGCAAAAACCTGTACGCTACGGGTAGACGGCAAGCAGACTATTAGTGATCCAACACGATTGCTCATACCGCATTGCACGAGTTTCGAATAACCGCAGTTATACATTGACGCAGGTGCCTGACCAGCATAGGCTCTGGTGGCTAGGACCAGTGTAATATAAGTCACCTAACAGGCAATTCTGCGTGTAGTCTGGCGAAGTAAGCAGGGCTCGAAAGAAAACATACATAAACTACTACCTGGCTCGAAAATTCTGACCAGGTTACTAGATTACACATCCAGTATTGGGCTTCGTAGTTGGTGACCCCTCGACTAACCTTATAGATATTAGAAAATGGATGTGGCGCTCTCATAACTACTAACTTTCCCTGGGTATCCTGTACCTTTGTCATTTTTCTTGTTATTCTCCCCTTTTTCGTTAGCCCAGCAAATGAGTATCTCATAAGCAGCAACAAAAACCGATGCACGAAGGTGCAAGGTTAATGGTTTTAAAACTGCAATCCCTGTTCTGAAGCTGAACAGTCACGGATTATGTGATGCGGATTGCTCTTATTAACCAAAAGGTTGTGAAAAACGACGAAAGCATAATGGAAGAGAGGACACTTAAGT